GAAATAGCAACAAATCCTCCCCAAACCAGCTGCATATTAGATGTTCCACAGACTCCGTCTCCCTGTTTTTCTACCAAAAACACCAAGATGGGGCCCCACAAGTAATCAAATCACTGTGCTCAAAACAGGAGGCATACACTTATGTTTCACAGTCTTCAAGCTTCCCAGAATTTTAGTAGCTTTTTCTACTGCTAAAATAATAATTAAAAAAATTAGATGCTGCTTATCTGCAGTGTCCCATTGCTTCATAAGAATGGCTCCACCTAGACTTGGAGAAAGAAATGTTGAGTGGTCAGCTATTTGGAGGAAATCAAAATACATCTCTTCCTTGTAATGCACGGTCAATTCCTGGAACATCTGAGGAATCCAGAACAGAGTCAGAAAAAGGTGGTTAATGATTAAATACAAAATAATAATTACAACTCTAGCCATCCAACCATGGCAAAGGTAAATGAGGATACAATGGCTGACTTGGATAAATAGTCTTCTGACCTTCTATTGGGCATGCCATTCCTTTCCTCATCTCTAAAATGGGGGAAAATAATAGCACCTGAATGAGTCTTCTTGTGAGAACTGACAGAAGCATACATTTGAAGCTCCTAGCAGGGTGCCTACACATTACAAGCACTCAAACAAAACAAAAAGAGAAAAAAAATCTGTCTTTAAGTGATTTCTTTCCTCTGGGGCTCTCTTAATCCTTTGTGAACTAGTGCCTTGGAAAGTATAACATTGATTGAATTTTCCTTACTGATGGTAAACCTTTTGTAGGCTCCAATTTCCTTCAGTTAATCTTAACTTCCAATATCAAGATCAATATCAATTCTTGATAGAAAAATTGATTTTTATTAAGTTGCACATATACAATATGATATATTGATGTTCTATCAGTATCTATTCTTATACCTATTAGGTGATAAATATATATCTGTGCAGTTGAATTGAATATGTTTGACTTCTACACTAAACTGGATGCTTGTTGTGGGTAAGTACCACAACTTATATTTGTACTCTGTAGAATCTCTCTCAGGACTGCATACAAATAGGTCATTATAAAATAGATGTTGTTTTTATCTTCAAATTCTTTTAATTAGAGGGCAATGAAGTTTCTAATTCCTAACACAGACACTGTTGTTTTTACAAATTCCTTTCTTGAATCCCTCTCACTGTTCTTCCTGTTCATCAGTGTTCCAGGAAAAATCTTCAGCCAAAGCCATTTTTATACAGTGGTTCCTCCCCACCATATTTATCCACAGCTTCACTTTTTGAGGTTCTAGTTATCCATAGTCAACCATGGTCTGAAAATATTAAATGGAAAGTTCCAGAAATAAACATTTCATAAATTTTAATTGTACCTCCTTCTGAGTAGCATGATGAAATTTTGTACCATCCTGCTCCATCTTACCAAGGATGTAAATCATCCTTCCATTCAGAGTATCCACACTGTATGCTACGCACCTGTTAGTCAGTGGTAGTTTTTGTCATCAGATTGACTATTGCAGTAACCCTTATGTAGTAGCCTATAAATGCTCTGTCATTTATCTTGCTTCAGCTCACTACATAAGTGTTGTTGTATCATCTTATGTCAACACAAGAAGAAGGGGGAGTGTAGATAGTGATACGTAACAATAGCCAAGTTATGAAGCCAGTTGAGTTGCCCATCAGTAGACAAAGGGATAAAGAAAATGTGGTGTATCTACACATGAAGTTTTACCCAGCCATAAAGAAAAATAAAATTGTGTCATTTTTCTGGTAAATGGATGGAACTGGAGAATATCATGATAAGTTAATAAACCAGACTCAGATAGGCAAGTGTTGAATGTTTTCTCTCATATGTGAAAGCTGGGGAGTCTTAAAAAATGGGATCTTATGATGATACACAATCAATCAGCAAATATATGAAAAAATGTTCAACATTTCTGGCAATTAGAAAAATGCAAATCAAAACTACTCTAAGGGCTGGGGATGTGGCTCAAGCGGTAGCGCGCTCGCCTGGCATGCGTGCGGCCCGGGTTCGATCCTCAGCACCACATACAAACAAAGATGTTGTGTCCGCCGAGAACTAAAAAATAAATATTAAAAAATTCTCTCTCTCTCTCTTTCTCTCCCACTCTTTCTTTAAAAAAAAAAAAAAAAAACTACTCTAAGATTTCATCTCACTCCAGATAGAATGGCAGCTGTTAAGAACACAAACAACAATAAGTGTTGGTGAGGATGTGGGGGAAAAGGCACATTCATGCACTGCTGACGGGACTGCAAATTGGTACAACCAATCTGGAAAGCAGTATGGATATTCCTTGGAAACTTGGAATGGAACCACTATTTGACCCAGCTATCCCACTCCTCGGTTTATACCCAAAGGACTTAAAAACAGCATATTACAGTGACGCAGCCACATCAATATTTAGAGCAGCACAATCCCCAATAGCTAGATTGTGGAACCAACCTTTAAGCCCTTCAGTAGATGAATGGATAAAGAAACTGTGGTATATAAGCACAATGGAATATTACTCAACATTAAAAGAGAATAAAATCATTGCATTTACAGGTTAATGGATGAAGTTGGAGAATATTATGCTAAGTGAAGTAAGCCAATCCCCAAAAAACCGAAGGCCGAATGTTTTCTCTGATATGTGGATGCTGATCCATAATGGGGATGTGGGGTGGGGGGAGCATGGGAGGAATGGAGAAACTTTAGATATGGCAAAAGGAAGGGAGGAGAAGAAAGGAGGAATGGGAGTAGGAAAGCTGGTGGGATGAGATGGACATCATTATCCTAAGTACATGTATGAAGACATGAATGGTGTGACTATACTTTGTCAACAGCCAGAGATATGAAAATTGTGCTCTATATGTGTACAATGAATTGAAATGTATTCTGCTGCCATATATAACAAATTAGAGTAAATAAATACATTTTAAAAATGGGATCTTATGAAAATAGAAAGTAGAATAGTACAGAAGAGAAAGGGGATCAAGAAGGAAGCAAGAGGGATGGCAAAGGGGAGGAACTGAGGAATGGAATTGACCAAATTACTCTATGTGCATGTAATGCATCACAATGAATTCCACTTTTATGTATAAGTATAATGCACTAATCAAAAAATAAAATACTAGAAGGAACACTAATAGAGTAAAGGAAGAGTATCAAGAGGACATAGGAGAGGAGAGAACAGAATAGTACTTGGGATTGAAATGGAGCAAATTATGTTATATGCACTTATGAATATATAATAATGAATCTTACAATTGTGTAAAACTATAATGTACTAACAAAAACACAAATAAATTTTTTAAAAAAGAATGAGTACAGTACAATAAGATTTGTCTTAGTGAATTTTTTATCGGTGCATAATAATAATAATAATATTTATTGTGACATATTTGTACATGCACATAACATAATTTGGTCAATTTCATTCCCTAGTACTTCCCATAATAAGATATTTTGAAAGGGAGAGAAACAGAGAAGGAGAGGCTATATCATCAGAACTTTTATTACAGTGTATTATTATAATTGTTCTATTTTACTATTAGTTATTGATATTAATCTCTTACTGTGCCTAATTTATAAATTAAACTTAATCTAGGTATACATGTGTGTAGAAATTCGTAGGAAAAACAGTGCAGTTATATGTAGGGCTTAGTGCTAGCCACCGTGTCAGACATTAGGGAGTTTTGGAATGTATGCCTGGGGGTAAGGGGTGGGCAGTGACTACTTCCATTCTCTTTGCCAGAGATTGGTTCAGGAAAGTGTGAACGATGCTTTCTGACTAATGAGACTAGGAAGGGGAGTTTGAGGAAGTTTTCTTTCCTCTTTAAAAAGAGACAAACAAGGACGAACATCCTCTTTTCTGCCTTAGGTTGCATCTGGGTGGGTTGCTGATTTGGGGAGCTAAGGCAAACGAACTGAGCTCAGGAGAGTAGTAGGCCAGAGAGGACATGCTAAGAAAGACCTTGGTATCTGATGATCTTTTGGGCCCCTGAAATAAGCTATACAGGATTTCCTAACTAGGCATGTGAGACAATAGGGCCTGTCCCTGTCTCAGTCATCTTGCTGAAAGTTTCCCGATGTACTTTCCACTTGTTACTCACTTCCCTTTTGAGTAAATCCTGGAAGTGGGACTCTTGTTCACAAGACTAAAGGAATTATCAACCAGGAGACTAAGGAAGCTATGGGAATTAACACAAAGTAACCAGGCATAAATATTTATTTAGTACTGTAATTCATAACTCATCTATTTTATTTTATTTTTTAGTAGTACTAGGGATTGAACCCAGGGGTGCTCAATCACTGAGTTACAACCCCAGCCCTTTCTATTTATTTTTTAAAATTTTGAGACAGGCTCTTGCTAAATGGCTGAGGGTCTCATTAAGTTGCCTAGGCTGGTTTCAAACTTTAGGTCCCCTGCCTTAGCCTCCCAAGTCTCTGGGGTAATAGTTGTGTGCTACTGTGCCAGGCTCTAGTTCATGTACTTTAAAATTTAAGAGACTTATATAAGAGCATTGCTTCTGTGGGGAAGAGAAAAAACTGACAACACTTGATCATTTATACCAGGTGGGAGAAGATTGGTCATGCACCACATAGAGATTTTTTGGTCAATGGCAGGCCTCATATATGATGGCATATGCCATAGAGTCTCCATGTGCGGCAGGTTCTACTATCTAGGTTTGTATGAGGGCCTGCTTCCGTGTCTGCACAGCAATGAAATGGCTTAATGATGTGTTTCTCCAACATATCCCCATTGTTATGCAATGCATGATACATACCTGTATTTTGAAAAAGTTAAAACACATGCACAGAATAGTTATGGGGAGAAAGGAGCATCTGGCTTTCCATGAGTTTCAGCACTGGGGCCAACAGTGATGTCAGTCAGTGAAGGCCATTTATGTGGGCACTCTCACCAGGGAAAGGGAGAGCTCTTTGGTGAACAGGAAGGAACTACCCTAAGGTTTTGTGGAGAATGGCACAAGCAGGAAGTAAAAGAAAGAGGGAAACTTACTCTGGGCAGCTGGAGTAGCACCTGCCTTCGTGGAGGAAGAGAGGGCGTTCTGGCTGAGACTGGCACTTTTTGCAGAGATCAGCTCCGGAGCAAGAGGCACAATCCTCTGTACAGTTCTCACAGCTGCCACTCTTGACTGAGGGCCAAGTGCCTTCGGGACAGGAGGAAACACAGGCATGCTCCAACAGATAGGCACCTAGGAATCCAGGGAAGAGGGCAGAGAAGAGTGATCATGTATTTGTCCTAGCAGTGCACTCACCAAGGAGAGAACTGACACCCAAGTGGCTTTTTTTAATCTTTCCAAAGCCCAAGTATTTGGAACATTTATTTCAAGTTTTCCAAAATACTTAGGTGATGCTAAATCCTCTGAGTTAAATCTTTAGGAAAAAAAATTAACTGAAGGAGGCTTTTGCTGTTTCTTTTACTTTTCTGGGACATTAGAGGTCACTGCAGGGCTTCCCTCTGCCCAGCTGATTAGCCTCACTGATCTCTTCCAGGTGTGAGGCAGCCACACTTGCACAACTCGATGAGGCCTCCTCTTTTGCCTCCCCCATTCCATCCTGCAGGGACACGAGCACAGAGGCAGTCCCTCCAATTACTTCCCCTTTTAATGGATGATCCATCTATTTATTTATGTTTAATTGAAAAATTAACCCAGATATTATTATTAAAAAAAATTAAAAATCACTCTCAATTCTAAAATTCCAAGAAGTTTCTTCCAGTTTTTTGGATGCACACTTTCATATCTTCTGTGGTTGTAGTTCTGACACATTTATTATTTTAACTTCTGCATCATGTCTCACTACAGTAGTTCCCACTTAACCACAGTTTTACCATCCAAAGCCTCAGTTACTTCAAGCTAACTGAGGTCCAAAATATTAAATGGAAAATTCCAGAAATAAAAAAATTTATAAATACTAAATAACTTTGTGACAGCATATTGTTAAAATTTTTCAGATTTTAACAACATAGTTACTGTTTTTAATCCCTTACTATGTCTGATTTATAAAATAAATAGGAATGTATATATAGGAAAAAACATGGTATATACTGGGTTCAGCACTATCCACAGTGTCAGGTGCCCATTGGGAATTTTGGAGTATATTCTCTGAGGATAAGCGGAGACTACTGTATTAACACTCACATTCCAACATGGCCTTAGGAATGATCACTTTAATGGCAGTATAAAATTCTTTTTGTTAATGTACCATGTAAATAAAATAGCCTTCTAGTTCAGTTATGTTATTCATAATATTTTTACAGAGAATGAAGTTAACAATTTGTTGAACTAGTATGTAGACGTCCATGTTCTTCCCTCCACCATCACTAAATTCAATATCATTAACGAAGAACAGTGGCAGTCATTCTTTTTTCCCCACAGTACTGGCGATTGAACCCAGGGGTGTTCTACCACTGAGCGACATCCTCAGCCCTTTTCACTTTTTATCTTGAGACAGAGTCTTGCTATGTTGCCCAGCTGGCCTCGAACTTGAATGATCCTCCTGCTTCAGCCTCCCTAATCACTGGGATTACAGATATTTGCCACCATGCCCAGTTAGATAATGCATTTTAAGAGGATGGAGTACCCATAGCCATTAGTAAATTCTGTGGGGCAAAGTCAACCAATAACTTCATTGTGCTTTGGGATTAAAAAACATTTTCTCTGGGTTGGAGATATAGCTCAGTTTGAAGACTACTTGCCTAGCATGCATAAGGCCCAGGGTTCGATTTCCAGCATCCACCCCCCCCCAAAAAAAAATAAATAAATATTTTTTTCCTCTTTGAAAGCCAGTTTTGATTATTGGGCCCTTGTGTGTTTGCATAGTAGCTACTAAGATGGGAACTTGGGATGGGATTAGATCAAAGTCCTACAAACCTCTATACACAAAGATGCCAACATAAAGGAGTGACAGTGAATTGGCTTGGCCACTGCCACTATTGCCGTGCTCCACACTAACCTTTTGGACATGAAGTGCACAGAGTTGCAGATCCATTGCAGGTTTTACAAGAAGAGTGACAAGGCTCATATTTTCTCAAAACGTCTGTAGGGAAAGAAACAAGTGAGGCTTCTCCTTTGAACAGGCTCATAGTTTTACAGTGTTAGAAAAGACCTTCTGGGAAACCTAGTTTCCCTTCCAGTCCAAAATAAATCTCTTTGATTTTACATGAGCTGACTGTTGGTGCCTGTCACGTGCCATTATGTAGACTTTCAATTTTTTTTTCCTCTTACTCCTTCATTGGCAACTGATTATGGACACTTTCTTTGCAACCTTACTGTGACAGAGAATGTAGGATCTTATAGGATTCTCCACTATTTCTTTCATATATTTAAAATATGGGGAAGTATTTTCCTGTGTGTATGCACTCATGAGTGAGCCTGCAAATCTAAGGTGATCACTCCTCCCAAGAGTCTTAATTGACCCCATCTCATCACTCCAAGGTGATCACCATGAATTCACTGTGTCTCTCATGGAAAAGTATGTTTTCTTTTTCTTTTCTTTCCTTTTTTTTTTTTTTGAAAAGCAGATTTCATTATTGGTCAATATTTGGGTCCTTGTGTTATTCAGAGTAGCCACCATAGAATGCAGCCTAAATTTATCTCATTTTAAATTTGTCCCAAATTATTATTAAACGTCAAAATCTTGTTGGTCAGGTTTTCTGAAGGCTGTCCAAGGTCGACACACCATTAACTTCACAAATACTCCAGATGTCCTGCTTTCCCTTTCCCTCCTAGAGCATTCAATGGGTAGACTTTTCCAGGAAGTCACCTCAGCAACTCCATGGGACAATTTCATAGACACCCAGAGCAGCCTAACTGATATTATTCAATCAATGCATACTGTGATCTTGGCTAAAGCTCAGGAATCAGTCTAACTCACCCAGGGGAAAGTTGGGAAAAAAAATTCTAACTTAGAACAGGTGACCCGAGTGATCTCTACCCTTGATCAAGTGTTAGCATTTTATAGTTCCCCTCTACCACCTCCTCCTCGCTTCCTTTCTTCCTCTGTCTCTCTTCCTGGGAATCAGGCTGTTTTGGTTCTGGTCACACCTGCCTTCAGATCCCAGCTGTGCCTCTTGCGGGTAGGGTAACCATGGATACAGTAATCAAACTCTCAGAGTCCTACTTTCCATGTCTCTAAAATGAGATAAAATGGCTCCTCCCTTATAGGATTGTTGTAAAAACTGAATGAGACAGCGTGTGTGAAGGGCTGAACACAGTGGCTCAGAGTGGTAGTTCCCAGGTTTCCTTTCCTCCCTCCCAGTTTTCACTGTTCCACCCTGTTTCTGAAGCTCCTTTTACTTCCCTCTCCTTCTCCTCTGATTTCATCCCCAGAGTGGCACCAGAAGGTGTGGCTTGATGTCTAGGATTGTGTTTATGATTGAGACAGAATCAGATTTCCTAGCCTCACACAGCAGAAGAGGAAGTGAGGGAGAAAAGCGGGGCAGACCCCACAAGGAACCAGGAAGAGAAAGGAGCAGCCGCAAAGTCAGACTTCAGGTGTCTGAGGTCCAGAAAGCTGGCCTGCAGCCTAGACTGGAGAATGAATCAGTCTCTCAGTGAGCAGAGAGTCACTGGAGGTGTCAAGAGATGTGCAGAAAACCTAAAGAAGGATAAGGACACAGTGTACACCAAGAAAATAAGAAGCAGAAGTCACCGAGACATGTTTAGCAAAGAAATTTAAGAGGGAAAAATATAATCAAATTAGTTTAGTGATAAATTTTTGGTATCATTTTTGATACCAGTATAAAAGTGGATTCTGTAAATAATTATACGGGTATGTCTATGGGAAGAAAGAATTTTCGGGTTCTGGTTTGTCTTTAGAACCCTGCAAGGGGTCCACAAGGGGACCCCCTGGTCAGTTCCTGAGTGGTAATGATTTATGTCTGGGGCAGGCGGGTAAAGCATGTTTCCTCCATATTGCAGAATAAAGCCCTGCTTCCTGGAAAAAGAAAAAAAAAGCTGCTGAGCTTCATTATAGAAGATATCAGGGTCCAATGTAATAATATGTGGATATAGATGTAGATATGAATATAGATAGATATAGATATAACTATAGACAGACATGAAGATGTAGATGTAAATATGCATGTACTAATATACACACATAAGTAATATATACATATACAATACATATATATACATATACACAGACACACAAGTACATATATATGTAAATGATTGCCTAAGCTGACATACTGAGTGGCAGGTTTTCTTCTTAATTTGGACAGATAACTTTCCCTAATTTTCCAATATATTCCACTATAGGGGTGTGTACCCTGCCCCTTGGGGAGGATCTGCTCAAAGCTTAATTAGCCCATGCAGAGCCACATTTGCCATGGGACTGTCACAAAAGAGGTCCACATAGCTCTCAACAGGACCAGTTCTGTCCCTGAAGGACTTTTCACCAGACAATATCACTCAGCCTATGAAAGAAGTTGCAGAAAGATGAGTCAAGAGGGTTTGAGACATGTTGTTCAATGATAGCCCAGAATGTTCGTCAGATAGGGAGTGCCCTTAAAGTCTTCACTGTCATGTGTCCAGATCACAGGCTGATTTTTTTGGTGTTCTCATTTTTATGCTAAGACAGTATATTTAAAAAGATATAAATTTCAATATTTTTCGTATTTGTGTAAAATTTAATGTCTGTCCACACATACAGTTGTATTTATAATTACATATATTCACATTCTAGCAATTTGATATTTTACTGCATCAAGTTGATATGGAATTCTGCAGTGTCCCCATGTGCCCACCAGAGGGGACTCTGAACAAGCAGTTCACAGCAATTAGGCAGCAAAATCATTCCCAGCTAGAGTTATCATAAAAAATTGGTGACTTAATCTAAATAATTTTGACCTTGATCATATTTTCCCTTTTTATCCCTCTCCAGAAATTCTAGACTGGACAGGACTTAATAAAGGAAAAGAAAGAAGAAAAAATTTCTCTTTGACCAAAAAGTATGGTACTCATCTTTCAGAAGTGACTATAGCTAAACTATATAAAGACAGGACTTATTTATTTTATTTTATTTTTATTAAATAAGGTATAATCACCTTGTTCATGAGAGAGGGAAGTCATGTCCTGTGAAATCTCCCTCCCAACCCCTTCTGCAACCTTTTAAATACCAACAGTGTCTATTCATACAGTTGGTCACCTTGCCTCTCTTTCTTTAAACTGTAATATATTTCAGAGAGCATTCTTTCTTGGTACAAAAAAGCCTCCTCATTCTTCCTGATCTCTCCATAGCATTCCCCCATATGGACATATTTTTTTTTCCAGCATTCGCTATCCCAGTCCCTTGGCTCTTCCTTTCTCTCTCAGAACTTCTGCACCCCACTCCCCTGGCCTCCCAGCTTCTTGGGTTGGCTTTTGCCCAACCTCTTTTGTCTCTCCTCTGTCTGTTTCTCCTCCCTATTTCCCTGTTACCTCTTTTGATTTGAACCTTCCACCTTCGTCGCTCTTGCAGCAGGCTCTTCACCAAAGATGGATTTGCAGTGGGCACAGCTTCTTTTTTATTAAAAAAAATAAAGTGCTTTTTAATGCAAATGAAGGAGATAAACTTCACCTATAGCCCCACTGCCCAGAAATGTCTGCTGGATACACTTTGGAGCTTCGATTTCCCATCTTTATATGGAATGTGTGACTGTAATTACATATACGTTTAGATGTGTGATGATTTACATCTTCTGGGTATTTAATACTGACACTGTGCATTGCATTTAACATTATAAATCTTATAGGTATTTTCTCTTATCATTAAAATTCTTTTAAATATCATTGGGGGGCATGAATATTTATTTGTATGAACTGTCATTTATTTATTTATTTTTTGCTGCATTTTTAGATTGGTGCCCTATTTGTGTTGTTGTTGTTGTTGTTGCTCTGGTTATCTTAAATAAAGCTGCTATGAACATCATAGTGAGGTGCATGCTTGGTTACTTCAGGACTTCTGCGTGGCATATAGGCATCTTGATCATCATTTGCTGCCTTCTTTCTGTGACTACTGTTCCCAGAATTGTATTATTCTTTAGACCCCCAAATTGCTTTCTTTTATGAGCTAAGTGATGCTGCTTTGAAAGTGAATTTGTGCTTTCAAGCATTAGGGAATAGACTAACTTTTAAAATGTCATGTATGTTCTGGAAGATTCATATGTATTCTGTCATTTAATTCTTAAAATGACTGGGTGAAGGGGCTTCATGCTCTCATTTTATAGATGAGGAAACTGAGGCTCGGAGAGGATGAGTAACTTGCTTAAGGTCACACTGCTAGGAAATAACAGAGCCAGGATTTGAATTCAGGTCTGCCTAACTCTGGAGTTGTTGTTGTTGTTAGTTTGCTGCTGGAGATTGAACCCAGGGCTTTGGGTATGCTAGGCAAGCACTGTACCACTAACCTGCAACCCCAGCCCCTAGGTCTGCCTGACTATAAAGCCCATCTCTCTAGAGAGGTTTTTCAATAATTAATTTAAATATTAATGTAGTTTGAGAGAGGCCAAAGCAATGGTGTGCTGGGTAAACAGCTCTCTAGAAAACAATAAGCTTGATTTATTTTGTGGCCAATTTCTATGGGTAAATACTCCCAACATGTAGATTTCAAGCTGTCAATGGATTAACAATATACTTAGGAAATTTCTGGATGTTTCATGATCAGTATAAGCCAATGAAAGTGGTTTCTTTATACCCATGGGCCACATGTTCAATTACTTACCAGTGACATGTGTTTTCTGCACACAGCATTCTGGTTGATTAATTTAAAACTGGTGTCCTCCTTTCGAAGTTAAGTGAGGCACTACCTGTATACATAAGGTCTTTCTAAAGTCAGATTTCTATGGTATCTTAAAGTGTGCTAAGTTTCAGTTACTGTAATGCAACACATCGCCCCACAATTGATCTTGATTTTCCCCCCATGTGAGCTTGGGCTTTCAGTATTTGTGACTGACTCTGGAATTCCAGTCTTTCCCCAAGCTTAGGAATTAAGATCAAGACAGGCTAGTGATAAACTGTTAGGATGTGGTCAAAGATAAAAAGTTAATTCACCATGTCTGCACTTTGTAGATTAGACTCTCATCAGAATATGTAATTAGAGCCAGCTACAACATGGTTTTCATCAATGATGGAAGTAGGTGGGTAGGGAAATTTTCGGGAATTACTCCTAGGACTTCCCAGCATAACCAGGGTGGGGGACCCACTTAAGAAAATCCAAATGCTTTAACAGTAACAGAGGGATGGCTTTAGGAAACCATCTGAGGCCACCATCTTCTTTCGAAGCCAGGGGTCTGCTGCACTTGAACATTTCTACCAGCACTGGTTTTGTGTGATGCCTAAGTCACTGCTGAAGCCATTCACAGCCTGTTTAAGACTAGTTTTATTCCTGCCATTTAGGGACACTTGACTAAATAATCTTCACAATGCATTAGTGAGTGGATCAGAGGGTCTGGGGATGATTTGTGGGTGTGCAGTGACATTGATGGCTTGAACAGAGTAGAACAGCCATCTTTGGAGATTCTTTGATCTTGGTTCGAGGACTTGCCAGTCATAAATTAAATATATGGAGCATTTTCATCCTTGAACTAGGGTCCAATCTCTCCCTGCTCTTTTGGTACTTGACAAAGAATAATGTCTCTCTCCTCACTGCTGATCTCATTCTGGTTAGTTGTGGTATTAACAAAGGAGTTCAGGGAATTCCAGTTGGATTTTTATTTCAGGGTATTTTCTCAGCACACAGTGACCTGTGCTCATGGAGTAGGTTGTGATCTTTGGATGTGAACATGATCTTATTGTTTCCACTGGGGAGCAGCGTGGGAGAAGGAATGGACTGAAGTTCATGCTACCTTATCTTTCCTACCTGAATGTAAACAAATATATTTAAACAAAAACTAGTAAAAATCTTGGTACCACCTAGGCAGCTCCAGTCTCTCACAAACACTCTGTAATTCGTCTGGGCTTCCTCTAAATTGACCCAGAATGACTGCAATCTGCTTTCCATCATCTGAAAGGTGTGGCTAATTAGTACTCGATCTCTCTGGAAGCCTCTACTCTCCTGTTACACTCTTGCCCTTGTTTTTTAAGAAGACGGCAGGAGAAAGATGTAGACATTGGCTCAAATACTCCCAAGGCTTTATGGTATGAGTTTCCCATTTACTATCCATTTCAGTGCTTAAACTAAGCTGGGGAAGCTGAGCTGTGGCCTTACCTTGCTTAGTGAATAATTTTTTTCCCTCTTTGTTAATGCTCTGCATGTCTCATTTCATAGATCATAGAAATGGAAAAGTGCAGCTATGTCATTGACTTTATAGCTTTTGTCCAGCCATGAGAAACATTCTCATCTGCTTCCCGAATCCCTTATTAGTGTGAAACCCCCAAATGGAATAAATCCTTCCTCTCTTCAAAAACATTACATTGTGATGGCAGAAAAAGTAGAGGGGTGGGTGTGGTGCTTTGACAAAGGGGAACAATCAAAGTCTGATTTTTGCTTGCAAAATGCGTAGTCCAGTTGAAGAGACGTGTAATCATTTGGGGAATCAAGTCCACTCTGACTCTTGGCTCCCCGGACCTTTTCATCATCTGGACGCCAGATAAAATACAGATGTTCTTAGCGAGAAACACAGCACCAGACTATTTCCCTCTTGGCTTGCGCTGCCTCTTAAATGCCTGAATGCCAGACAAACTCGTTTTCAGCATTTTGGTTCAGCTATAATTCACGGAAGATATCCCAATCTGGATTGAATAATTTTCTCCCAGCTCTGTCTCTGAAATCAGCCCCGTGTGCTCTGCGGCCTTTGGCTGCTGGGTTTGGGATGTTCTCTTCCTTTAAGTCACATGTGCAAAACTGTCATAGCAGACTGCAGCCATGGACAGGCTCCCTCTGAAACCAGCACGAGACCTCTCTCTTGTCCCCTTTGAAGCTTCATCCTGTGCGGCCTCATTGAGCCGCCATTGCCTGTGCACTGTGGTGGCCCCTCACCAGATCTTTGCCTCCAAATCAAAGGGACAGCACCTCTTGTTTTCACCAGTATTGCTGCATAGAATGTCAGTCTGATTTTTCCAGCAGGAAGATAATTTTTTGTTTTTGTTTTTGTTTTTTTAACCACCTTGAACACACAGAGGTCTCTGAAGGCATGCAATTTCCTTACAAGGAAGTCTATAATGAAGGCATAAATGTGAGGAGGCCAATTCTAAAGATTCAGGGAGGAATACATAGTGGCAAGTCTTTGGTATTCAAGTCCAAGCTCCCACAGTCTTCTTCCCTGCTCCCTGTGCCCCTCGCTTTCCCCATCTACAATTGGGGAGGGCAGCTTTTAAAAGGTGAGCACTAATGATGGCAGATTCTTTTCCTTGTTTGCTTTTTGATTTTTTTCCCCCATACTGGGGATTGAACCCAGGGGCACTCCATCACTGAGCAATAGCCCCAGCCCTTTTTATTTGTTTAATTTTAAAATTTTGAGATAGGGCTTCACTAAGTTGCCCAGGCTGGCCTCAGACTTGCAATCTTCCTGCCTCAGGAATTACAGGCCTGTGAAACCAGGCCAAGTTTGTCCTGATAGGACTCATGCCTTCCCCATCCCCTCCCCTTTTCTCTCTCTTCCTTCTTCCTTCCTTCCTTTCCTCCTCCTTCTTCTCCCTCCTCCTCCTCCTACTTCTCCTCCTTTTCCCTCATCTTCCTCTTCCTCCTGCTCTCCTTCTCCTTCTCCTCTCCTTAACTCCTGAGCTCAAGTGATGTTCCTATTTCCTGGTATTTCCTGGAGTAGCTAGGACTACAGGTGCATGCCAATAAGCCCAGTTGATTAATGACAAATTTTAATTCCTACAGCAAGATCATATGTTTTAGTCTAAGTTCCAGTATGTTAGGTTTAACTGGCAAAGTTTCCAATGGGTGAAGGTTTCCTTTAGCATGATGTAAAGATAAATGTGACAGAAGCCATTCTGAAAATTTATTGTTTTTCTTATACTGTTGTGGATCAAACCCAGGATTTGCACCTTCTGGGCAAGTGCTCTATCACTGAACCACACCTCCAACCCCTATTCTGAAAAGCTAAGAAAATGGTCATTTCCCTTTGTGACTTTCTTTACAGGTTCTTGGGTCTTCTTCACCCAGGTGGAAACTTTAAGACCGGACTGTTCATAAATTGCACCTTGGGCTCCCCCTGCCGGCCAAATGCCAATCACCGTTTCCTACCTTCTCCCACTGCAAGCGACCTGAGACCTGGGAAACCCGCTCCAGTTTCACGCCACTCTCATTTCTCTGCACAGCCTTCCTCTCTTGGATAACTCAGAAATAGGGGTTAAAGAGGAAGGGGTACAGCGTAGGTGGCTAGGCCCCTGCGATTTCTCTTTGGGAGGCACATACCGTTCCAGAACTTGCCTTCCACCTGGTTGTTGGCGGGCCAGACGCACGTGCCGCGCCGCAGCTGCTGTCCTTCCCCGCACCTGCTGCATTCGTCATCGCCAACGCCGGTGCAGGCTTCACAGGATGGGTGGCAGGGCTCGCATTCTCCTGTTCCCTGGTCTCCATAAAAGCCAGGACCACATTCCCTCACACAGCTACCACCTTCGTAAGAACATGAGGAGGACAGTTGGAAGACTCACAGGACTTATGAAGGTGGGGCGCTTGCCGGCCTAGCTTGAAGCACTAGGTGAGGCCAAGTTATAAAGCGATTCTCAGGAACATTTTTTTTTTTTTAATGTCGTACCTGGAATTGAACCCAGGAAAGCTTAAGCACCAACTCACATCCCCAGCCCCTTTTTAATATTTTATTTAAAGACAGGGTCTTGCTAAGTTGCTTGGGACCTCACTAAGTTGCTGAGGCTGACTTTGAACTTGGGATCCTCCTGCCTCAGCCTTCCCAGCTGCTAGATTGACAGGCTTGCACCACCATTTCTGGCTCAGAAACATTTTTTTTAATTGCACTTGATTTTAAAGAAACTAAGATGGCTTTAGCATATTTTAATCAAAGAATGTATTTTAATAATATGACACTAAGTCCTTTTTCTACTGCGAATTTAAACTGGCCATCGGCTTAAAGGGTTAGGAGCTTTGAATGAACACCACAACATTCTTGATATATTGAAACACTACAAAGAAAATGAATCTCTGTTGAGATAACCATGGAAGTTCATTGTGGACTATCTGCCTCACTCCCTCTCCCCAAATATTTGAAAACACTGGGCTATTCGTTCTTCAGTTGGAAGACTCACAGTATATTTCTTTCCCAACTATCCATTTCCATCAAGTCAATGAATTTAAGATAAAGGATCTTGTTCAACTCTTAATGGGTACAGGAATGTATAATATGGATTAATTATCAAGAAAAGCATCATGGTTCTAAATATTCCAGGTGACTTCAATGCCAAAACTTTCATCTTTAGGTCCCCTCTCCCCTTTCCTACCCAACTCACTCTTGTTTCCATCAGCTTGGAGAGTTGAGATGAATTAGTGAAATATGAACTGTGAATTAGAAATAAATGCAGAAGGAAGTACTAATGTTTGTCTTCAAATCAAATTAAAATTCCTTCTTGGACCAGCATATGAGGACTCTCAAACCCATCACAGGAGTGCTCCTATTGCACTGCCTGGGTAGAGCTGCAGAGCTCTCTTTGTATGATGCCATATTTTTACTTACCCAAGAGAAAGAAGCCCTCTTCACACCAGTAACACTCATTCTGGTCACAGTTGCCACAGTTAGTATCACATGCTTTGCATTTCAATTCTTCACTGTAGGTCTTCTCAGGACAGGTTTTATAACAATGGTGCTCAAACCTAGGGGAAGAGGATGTAGTTTCTTCCATGACATGTGCTGATATTTTTCTTTTAACTGCCACAATTTAATCTCCTCATACATTTCTATGCAGCATTTTTTTTCAGTGTCTCAAATAAGCATTTTATTTTATGCAGCATTTGTAACAGAAGTAGATAATTGGATTTCAGGGGAGGAAACTGGATTTCTTGGTGTGATTTTCCCTGTCAAACCAATTCACTACCTACTTCTGGACTTCTGAGGGCTATGTCAGGGCATCTGAGAGGAGGCTGGGGAGAAGGAATGGGGTACTGATGTTTGTTTATGTAGTATGTTCACGTATCAAGTCATTTGAATTGTTGCACAAATCCCATATAGTAAATATTACTTATTTTAAATTTCTAGATAAGGGAACTAGAAGTTCTAGAAGTTCAAGATCTGGTGCTCAAAATCTAGTTAAAGTTGGGACCAGGATTTTAATCAAAGTCTGTGTGAACAGATAGCTTATGTGATTTACCAGGCAGCAGTTGGCACTTAAAAGACCTGAGACAGCTCAGTGTTGAGCTCAAGTAGTTTACCAGAATGTCTGTAACTAGATTATTAAGAACAGTGATTATTAATAACTTCATCTTATACACACATATATAATATACATGTGTGTATATATGCATATATGAATTTTTACATATATTATCTATTATTTTAATTGTACAGCAAAATGTTGTAATTCCGACTCTACTGAATTGTGGAAGGAATTTGAAGGAAGAGTAGAATGAAGTTGAGTCTTGTCCTTTGGTGAATATCAAAGCATCATCAGGAAGCCTTTGCATTTCTTCCTTAGCCATTTCTAATGTACTACATCTCTTCAGCTTTATTCACAAGTACTAAATATTCTCAAAGTTTATAAATGTGTGTTTCTTGAAATGAATATGTGTGTTTTAGCTTGGTGGTATTAGAGCATGTTATTTCAGTGCACTTCTTTCTTGAAGTGTTTTATGAACCATGCTCATTAGTGAGCCAGTGACACTGACAAGGCTGGCTCCCAAGTTTCACAGATAACACTCCAGGTTGGGGAGGTGACAGGTGCAGGTGGTGGTGGTGAGGTGCATTCAGGTATCAAAATGCAGAAGTAGGCAGGGTAGTGTGAGATTGGAGTGATGGGGAGTGATAAGAAGGACTGGGAATTCCTTGCCCACTGCTGCATGTCCCTATGTTTTCTAACTTTAAGTCTAAGCTTTCCTTGTCCAGTTCTTCAAAGAACATTTTGTGTCCCCACCATGTGACCTCACCAGGGAACACTTGCATTTCTGCCATTCATTCTGCTTCGGGATCCTGTGGAAAGCCATATGCTGCCTAAATGTCGACTACGAACATGCTGACCATTTACATTCTGCTCATTAAATGTCATCTGGTCTATCTTATAATAGTCAAACCTGAGGCCTCTTCTGCACCCCTCCTTCCCTGTTTAAATGAAACAATAATTTAAATCAGTGGGTCAGAGGTGCAGAGACCCTGACAATGTAGAGGAAACGTCATTCTGGAAATGTTGGATTAAAACCACACCACTAAGAATAGGCTGAGTATCTCTAACGCAAAATTCCAAAAGGCAAAACATGCCCAGCTTCATAGCTTCTTGAGCATGGAAGAAAATTTCACACCATGAAACTTTGTCTCATGCACAAAATTATTAAACATACTACATAAAATTACCTTCAGGCTATGCGTATAAGGTGTATATGAAACATAATGAATTCTGTGTTTGAATTTGATATTCCAAAATCTGGAAAATAATCTGAAATATGAAACACTCTGATCCCAAATTTTAGTTAAAGGATACTTAGTAAAATGAGAAAGTAAACTCATCTTTTAAAACTATGTTTCAGTTGTTGTCCCATTATCTTCACTCCTTTCACCATCTCCTGACCTACAACCGCAATTGGAGTTCCTAGAATCTGGTGATCCCACAGGCAATGTGGTAACAGAAGAAAGTGACCCACCAATGCTGAGATGACCTGATAGAGCCTGGCCACTAGCTTGGGTGTAATATGAGATGACCCAGCACCTCCCTGAGCTGCCCTTTTTCTCAGAGATAAACATTGATCCAGTGTCCCTGATGATCTTTATGAAGGATGCATAGAAGGAATGGACAGGAGGGTTTATATACCACACAACTCCTCCAGTGAGGGATGGACTGTGGGCCTGGCATCAGCCTGGGCCTTCCTGCCCCTTTCGTCTCTTTCCTTTTCTTGATTTGTCTTTCAGGAGAGGCAACAATATAAGCTGGAAGGGAGACTAAGATAGGAAAGGAGGTGACATAGAAACACACTATCTTCGTTTTTGTAGGTTTTGATTAAAGAACATTGAGGTTGATGATTTTCTGTGTTTCGTTTAAATGAGTGTTCTGCGTCTCTCATTACACATGGGATGATACAGAGCTAAGACGGAACCTGGTTTCCCCTGGAGCATTCAACTCCAGTTAGGGACAGGGTCTTCATGCAGACGTTTGGAAACAGCCTCCTTGGGGTTGGTATATGCTTAAGGTCTGTCCATAAACAGCAAGGTCTGAATCTTGGTCACCCATGGCGAGATTCCTAGACACCAGTGTCAGGCTGGATGACATCCAGAAAAAGAAGGCCTCCTTTTGAGTCAAGAAAGCAGCTGGGCTTTTATTGCCAAATCCAAGAATTGCTCATTAATAGCCCACAGGACAGAGTTGCTTCAGGCTTCAGGGCCTCTGTGCTTTAATCACTGGATTTAGGATTAAGTCAGTAATGCTGAAACTGCAGAAAAGTTAGTGTCATGAAAAAAAAGAAGGCCAGACTTACATGTAATACCCTGCAGCACATGAGGTACAGGTTCCTGGATCATCTGGAAAAAAATTATAATAATGAAAAATTACCATCAACCGCATTTTTGTTATTGGAAAAAATGAATTTTGGAAATGTGGTGGTGTGAGATAAATAATCTTCTGGTATGGTTTTATGAACAGCATTGTCCAGAAATGATATTTGAACAGATTGCACCATTTCTAATGAGTAACAAGAAGTACACTAGGAATTATCTCTATCAAAGTAATAAAATAAGAGTTCTCATAAACACTTGGCCTGACTTTCAAGGAGGAATAGGGCCAAGCTACTGGGTCTTCAAATTAGATCAACCCCCATCCACATTCAGAATCTTCTGGCCATGGGGCTGGGTGTGTAGATGAGTGGTAGAGTTCTTGCCTAGCATGTGTGAGGCACTGGGTTTGATTTCCAGCACTGAAAAACAACAACAACAACAACAATAACAACAACAAAAAAACCTTCATGCCCCTCTTGGGGTAACAGCATCAGTCATATCTACCCAAAAATCCAAATAAGGATTACAAGCGTCTGACCCAGAACTGTGGGTTTCCCATGAATTTCCCTAAATGCCTGCCAATAGGAGGGAGTGTCATTTGAGAAGGTCCTTTGAAATTGGGACAGTTATTTTTCCCAAATACAAGCACTCACTTTGTGTTCTGCGCTTGACAACCTTCTAAAGAAACTGTCCTGTTCTCATTAAGTGTAATGACTCAATGTGTCCCTGTTGGCTTGGAGAAGGGTTCACTCTTGCAGCTCTCAGGGGACTTAAAAGAGAGAGACAGGATTTTGAGAATCACCATCTCAGTCTGTCTGCCCATCCCCAACATTGTCACTCTCAGATCTGATTATTAAGGAAATCCTGTCACTTTCTCTGGTCCCCAGTTTCCTCTGGCTGTTTTTTTTTTTTTTTTTTTTCCTATGATCTGGCCTCACCCTAGTCCTGCTCTTTCCATTGTAATAGGAGATGAACACCAACTGCTCCTTAAACCATTCCTCTTGGTATGTGGAGATTTCACATCACATTTAACTTTAAACTAATAAAACTAAGTCTTTGGAACTTCACACATACTCTCTAATCTTGTCTGGTCTGTGTCCTGGTTTTCTCAAATCCTGCCCTTTTGGGGGAGGTGTAGAGAGTGGTTCACCCAGTCTTTAGTCACACACTCATCTTGGATCAACCTCAGAATGCTGCAAGATGTCACTACTGCCTACTGTACATGTATCACACTCAAAATTATAGTGAGAAGATTGCTAAGAGAGGCTCTGCCACTTTAAGCAGGTATCCTTAGAACCTTCTGGAAATAGCCTAGTGATGGAAAGGGCACTGGCCTGGGGATTGGACACATGTTTCTAGTTTGAAGTTTTAACTCAGATTTAACTGTCTCACAAGCATGCTTAAATACCACTCTTATTTCTTAGGTCCTGGTTTCTGCAGGTGTAAAATAGCTCATTGGACAAGAAGTTTGTTAAGTCTCTCTGACAGTCAAAGATTCCAAAATTCAGTCTAACAGGAGTTAGGAAACTATGGCCCACCCTGGAACTGAATTCAGCTTTGGACATTCATTTATGATGTATGATGTATGAATGCTTTCATGGTATAGCATCAGAACTGCATGGTTGCAACAAAGACCTGAAATATCTGCTATTTGCCACTTCACAGAAAAAGCTTGCTGACTTTGTCAAGCTCACCTGTTAGGTGACACCTGCCATGGTTGACTTACCAGACGGATGGTCCCAGAGCTCCTCTTAGGCAGAGAACTATCTATATTTAGGAAAATACCTTGTTAAGTTACTTGGGGTAGAAATTTAGTTAGAAGGGTTGAACAAGAGCCAAGACAACCAAGGTGATACAAAGGCCCTTCAACAGGAGGCCATGATTTTTGTTCTTGGGAAGAAAATGGATTTTAATGTCTGTGTCAACATGGTTTATAACAAGGTGACTAAAATAGGACAGTGAAATGAACCAAAAACCAGGGTAATTAAGTAGAACCAAGAAGCTGAAGGTACTCATGAGAAAGAAAAGCTCCCTGACATTCTTAGAAATCTGGGAGGGCTTTACGCTTCTGCCATCTGTGGATTGATGATGTGAATCCATTTTAAGGGTGTACAGAGGTTCTAATGAACACCAGGCTCCACAGGGCTGGTTCATTTCCCACCCTGAGCCTATTTTTGCATCTATATTCTTTTCAGTTCTTCTTCTAAGTAACTTGCTGCTGCTCAGCTTGCATTTGGGCAGCTTACTTTTCTCTTTTTCTCTGCCTGTCCCTGATGAACATATTCGGCTCTGACAGTTTTGCTAATTTGGCAAAGGCTGGGGAAATTCTAATCCTGTTCTCTAATGTTCTGGTCATCCCTCCCATCTAGGAACTTAATGAGCTTGCTCTCTGCTCCTTTAAGCAGGTCACTGATGAAAATGTTAAACAGAACCAAGACTCAGAAATGTGCATACCAATGTAATCTTGAGTTCAGGGACTTTTCCAGCCCAGTTGCACAGTGAATTTGGTACCTTAACAACAGTTTGCATATATGAATTATGCATAGGAGAGGAGCTGTGTCTTCTAACAGCTAACGATGCCCATTAGTTTTTCTCATTATTACCAGTTGTTCTAAAGAATGACAATTATTTAAAAAAAAATTTTTTTTCCACCCCAGAAGATCTACAAGTCAGACATAAGCTAAATGGATTTAGCTTGACCACTGAGAGGCAGCTGTTATGGGATTAAGGAAGATGGTAACAATCCCAAACCTAGAAGTTGACTCTGAGTCAACTTGGCATATGGATGGTAAGGAGAGGGGCTTAAGGAGAAAGACAAATTTTCCTGGCTTCTAGTATGTGTGAGGGGGTGGGGAGGGGAAAAGGGCATATAAACAAGCTAGATTTGTTAACTGTCTTGGAAGGTGTTATCCAAAGTCGGATGTTTAAATAGCTCTGGTTATTTGATCTTGTTGAATCTTTGGGTTGAGAGAGCATATTTTGATCGGTCAGAATTTAGAGAGCCTCACACATTTGGAAAAAAGCCTTCTGGAACAGTTGTTGGCCTGCAGCTGCCACATCTCTGCTAAGAAGGATGTGTCGGCAGATGCCTTTCAAGAGTGGGGTACAGTCTTCTGTTCTTCAGAAAACTCATTCCTATCATGTACTTTTTATGAGACAGGGGCAAGGTGGGCAGGATTACAGTGTCCACTCTTGAGAGCTTTACATCATCTTCTGTGTCACCTTTCCACTGTGTCCTTAGGGATCAGTAGTATGGAAACTGAGCTCACTGTCCCCAAAGACACATCCACTCCAGCTCTCAACTTCACCTTCAGCAGTCAACTTATACTCTGCCATTTTATTTTGTTCTTAGTGGTCCCCATAGCCTTCACCAATGAATCTGGATGAACCAGGGCCACAGAGGAGTTATGTGCATGTTACCTATACAGTGTAATGGAAGGGGGATATTTTAAATTTGAGATTGAATGAAACAGTTTAAAATGTTCAGAAAAGGATTTATTTTTATAGTTTACATAAACTTTGGGTCCTGCAATGAAAGATACTTACAAGGGAAAATTCCTCTAACTTGCTTTTTATAATTTTATTGTTCTTGCATGTTTATTTCTCATTTAGGAAAGACAGAAGAAACTCAGTTTCTTAATAGCCTTTTCTCTCACCAGGCATGGTGGGGCACACCTAAAATCCCAGTGTCTCAGGAGGCTGAAGCGGGAGGATTGCGTGTTCAAAGCCAGCCTCAGCAACTTAGTAAGACCCTAAGCACCTCAATGAGACCCTGTTTTAAAATAAAACATAAAAAGGAAAAAAGGGCTGGGGTCAGTGGTTAGGTGCCCTTGGGGTCAATCCCCTATACCAAAAAAAAAAAATTTTCTCATAGAATATCCACATATGTCAGAATTAGCCATAGTTTAGATATCATGTAGGCAGAACTGACTCTGCAAAGTGGTAGGATCAATTTGATTTCAGGATGTTCCTACCTTGACTCTGGCTATTAATTTTAAGCTTCCAGGGCTTTCATTCATACCCAAAGCTAACCAGTCCTCTAAGACTTCTATTAAAATTTATCTGGGGGCTGAGGATGTGGCTCAGTGGCACAGTGCTTGCCTAGCATATATGAGGTCCAGAGTTCAACCCCAGCACCACAAAATAAATAAATAAATTAAAACTATCTGTCCCATACTGCACAGACCTATTTGGGAGGTTACTCTAAGATGATGCAAAATGAACATGTTAAATTTGTGCTTTCAGGAGAATCTTTAGTTCTCACCACTTTCAGTCTTTTGTCCAGTATTCTAGAATTCTTGAGTTCTTCTAGATTAACTCAGGTCACATCTGTAAGTATTCCATTAAACTTAAATATAATTAAACCATAACCTGCATGTTTACTTTTCCTAGATAATTGTTATCTTTTGGCTCAGTCAACTTCCCTGGTCCAGTTATCTGGGTTCTGCCAAACTCAGCACTCTGTTTACCTTCCCAAGAGTCTTCCTGGCTAATGTCCCCCACCTTTAGGCAAAGTATTAAGTCAAAGTCAGGCTCAAGTCATACTTCATAGATTTCTAGCCTTAATCTCACACCAAGATCTTCAATAAGAGAAATCCATGAAAATCAAAGGAAGATGAAAAAAGGAAAGACATTTAGGAAAGACAGAAGAAACTCAATAAGGGAGAGGGAGTGGGACTAGAAAGGGGGAATCCTGGGGAATTATATGAGCCAATTATTATATGGTTATATCATGTGCATGTATGAATATATAACAATGAATCCTACCATTATATTTAATTATAATGCATCAATAAAAATATGGAGAAAAGAAAAGAAATCCAAAGCCTCAATCTCCATAATTTTTAAAAAATCTATTAACCCCATGGCTTAAAAAGTTACCATGTACCTATAATGCACATATGTGTGCATAGATTATTTGTTATTAATTACTGTTATTCATTATTGTTATGTTTAGATATGTGGTGTCCCCCAAAAGCTCATGTGTGAGACAATGCAAGAAAGTTTAGAGGTGAAATGATTTGGTT